GATGGCTCTCCCCCGCTATCATAAACACGTGGCGCACGGCGCATAACCCGGCACGCTTTTTGTCGGTGTAGGTCGACGGCGTGTCCCCTGCGCACCGCTCATTCAGGGTGCGTCCCTGGAATGGTGCTGGGACGTCGGCCGGCGCCAGTCCTTGTGGGACCTGTGGCTGTTGGTCCCAGCGCAGGCGGGAAGCGAACCCCACGAGGCTGTGATGCTCCATGATGCACCACGTCGCAGCCTCATGGGTTCGGGGGCGTCGCGGTGGGTGCTGAGGAGGCGGCCGATGGCCGAGACTGCGGCTGCCGGGGGAACGCAACCGATGGTAAGACGACCGCCGCGGGGGTGGGTGGCGTGGCCGTGACCACGGTCGGTCTGGCGGCATGGCTGCAGGTAGTCGAGGTCAGGAAGAGGCACAATTAGACAAGATGGAGACGACGTTACTGAACTCTCAACACTCTTCGCCACGTTCAATAAAAGGTTTCAAGTCATTGATGTTAACAGGTCCGACGCGTGCGCCGGTTATGGGGCACCGTAATCGATATGCGAGGCGTGTAATTCGCGTCTCGACCATGAATGGCCCTTTCCATCGTTTGGTGAGTGAAGCGGGAAATCCTTGGCTGGTGTTACTGGGTGGGTGAGTGCTTCGGAGAACTAGATCTCTGACAGAAAATTCGACGTTTCTCCGGCCTCTATTATATTGGGTTCGTTGTCGTGATTGGGCTAGTTTGATATTCCCCCGGGCCATTGTCACTGTATTTCGGATATTATCGCAGAGTCTTTGCGCACACCTTGAGTGTGATTGGCGCGGGCGAGCATCTGGCGCAAGCTCTATAATGTTTTCCATGGGTACTCTTAGCTTCCGACCAAAATTCAATCGTGCCGGTGTAAATCCCGTGGTTCGGTTTTCTGTGGTATGGGTAGCAAAGGCCATCTCTGGGATATAAGAGTCCCAGTCGCGGTGTTCGTTACTGTACAAAATTAGCATTGCCCGGAGGTTGCGATTTACTCTTTCAGTGATATTGGCCTGGGGGTGATAAGGGGAAGTACAATTATGTTGGATAGCGAGAATCTGACAATTTTCAAATACAGTGCTGGTGTAGTAGGTGGCCTAGTCTGTTAAAAGGACAACAGGATACCCAAACCGGGACAATGTTTCTCGAAGTTTGTCCCATATCTTCTTGGACTTGAGTTGACGCAGGGGATGAAGGTCGACCCACTTGGAGAAGTGGTCGGTGACCACAAGGAGGCACCTGTTGCCTTGTGGGCTGCGTGGAAATGGGCCCATGATATCACACTAGTGACGCAAAACTATCGATAAATTGACTATCAATACTATCGATAGTTTTTCCAAAACTATCGATAGTGTCTCAGAACTATCGATAGTCGACTATCGATACTACTATCGATAGTTTTTCGATAGTCGACTATCGATAGTTTTTCGATAGTCGACTATCGATAGTACTATCGATAGTTTTTCGATAGTCGACTATCGATAGTTTTTCTATAGTCGACTATCGATAGTTTTTCAATAGTTGACTATCGATAGTACTGTCGATAGTTTTTCGATAGTCGACTATCGATAGTACTATCGATAGTTTTTCGATAGTCGATTATCGATAGTTTTTACTATACTGGCGGCTAACGATACAATCGATAGTGCTATCGATAGTCTTGCACCACTATAGTCCGTTACAACTCAAGAAGGTAGGGCGAAGGTAAGACGGGCCGTGGAGGAGGAAGCAGACGGAACGCTAAAGAGAGAAGGAGGTTTCCCCATCTCTTCTCCAGCGTTCCGTCTGCTTCGTCCTCCCCGGCCCGCCTTACCCCCGCCCTACCGCTCGCCTCCACCTTCTCCTCTCCTCGCCCAAACTCCCGTCTTCGTCATCACTGAAAGCTGAACGAAAGTTGAGATAGTAAGTGGCTGGCCTAATTGGTGTCCCATTTGCAAAAAAAAAAAAGAGAAATAAATAAAGCGATAAAAAGAGAAGAGGGAGCGACGCAAACTACTAGTGTCGCAAAACTATCTCGTCGACAGCACCATCAATAGGTTTACGATAGTCGACTATCGATAGTTTTTTGATAGTCGACTATCGATAGTTTTTCGATAGTCGACTATCGATAGTACTATCGATAGTTTTTCGATAGTCGACTATCGATAGTACTATCGATAGTTTTTTGATAGTCGGCTATCGATAGTTTTTCGATAGTTTTCCGATAGTCGACTATCGATATTTTTTCAATAGTCGACTATCGATAGTACTATCGATAGTTTTTTTCACTATCGATAGTCAGATTTCTGGCGACTATCGATACTATCGATAGTACTATCGATAGTTTTGCACCACTATATCACACGCAACAATTTCCCAAGGAGGATGACCCTGAACCGACTGCATGAACCCCAGGGGCTTCCCGCCTCGGGGTTTTGCTGTCTGGCATTTAGGACAGCTGCGGGCATAACGCAAGACATCGTGGTTCATTCGAGGCCAAGTTGCAATGCGGCAGAGCTTTTGGTAGGTCTTTTTTTTTCCATCACTGTGACCTGCCAGGATACTGTCATGAAAGTAACTTATAAAAGTACGTCGTAATATTTTCGGCACGACTACGCGAAATGGCGACGTGGTAGGGTCACCCTCATCTGCTTGAGGTATGTATCGAAGTAAAAGGCCATCGTTACTCGGAACGTAGGTGTCTGTGTGTGCATCAGTCATGTCCTGTCCCCTGGAACTGGGTTGATTTAACCGCGTAGATATCTGCTGGCACAGATCGTCTGCTCGCTGGGCTCTGAGCAGCTGTTCCCGGGTCACGACTACACCCCAGGAAAGTTCCTCGCTAGTAACAGCGACCAACTCCGTGGCTTCTTTCTTTTCCTGAGGTGGAAGGGGGGCGTGAGACAAGGCGTCCGCCGCAATGTTGGATCTGCCAGGCCGGTACTCAATGGAGAAATTGTATCCCTGTAAGGTGAGAGCCCATCGAGCTAGACGTCCTGCTGGGTGTTTAAGATTTTTGAGCCAGGTCAACGCTTGGTGGTCCGTTTGAATTGTAAAGTTTGCTCCGTCAAGGTACATATCGAACTTCTTTATGGCAAATATTATTGCTAGGTACTCTTTTTCGGTGACGGTGTATTTACGCTCCGCTGCCGACAGTGTGTGGCTCGCAAATGCAACGGGTCGTAAGGCCCCATTATGTTCCTGCAGAAGCACTACTCCTAGTCCGTACTCGCTGGCGTCGGTTTGTAGCACAAATGTGGCATTGAGATCGGGAAGTCTGAGGGACGCTGTATCGGCAATGGCGACTGCCAGCGTTCTAAATGCTTCCTCGTGAGCTGCAGTCCAATTCCATGGGACATCCCGGCGCAGCAGCTCATGAAGAGGTCGGGCCAAATCGGCACAGTTTGATATAAATTGGCGGTAGAATCCCACCATGCGGAGATATCGCTGTAGACTCTTTTTGTCCTGAGGAGTGGGAAATTTTATCATTGCTTTCAACTTTTCTTCCTGTGGATGGAGGAATTCATGCTCCACCACGAATCCGAGAAGTGCTTCCCTACTTGACGCCAGCTGCACCTTCTTCGGGTTAATCGTTAGTCCTGCATCATTCATCTGCTACAGAACAACCTGCAAATGGTTAATGTGGTCGTCCAAGGTCTTTGAAAACACCACTACGTCGTCCATGTAAGCCATTGCACAGTTAAATTTAGTATCCCTCAAGACGGTGTCCATGAGCCTCTGGAAGCTTGCGGGAGAATTAGACAGACCAAAGGGAAGTCGATCGAATTCAAATAGGCCCCTCTGGCAAATGAAGGCCGTCTTAGGAGTGTCAGCCTTGGCGACAGGAATCTGGAAAAACCCTCTACTACAGTCAAGAGTGGTGAAAATGCTTGCCGATCCCAGTGCATACATTACGGACGAGATCGATGGGAAAGGGTATGCATCCCTTCTCGTTATGGCGTTAAGAGGTCGATAGTCCACGCATAAACGCGCTGTTCCATCTTTCTTGGGCACCAGGACAATAGGAAACGCCCACGGACTGTTTGAGGGGCGTACCGTTTTGGTCTCGATCATTTTTTCTAACGCGCGGTCGAGCAGCTCTCTTTTATGAACACTCAAGGGGCGCGCGTTGAATCGAATTGGTCGGGCATCCCCGGTATCGATTTGATGTTCTAGTTTACTAGTCTTCCCGGGAATCTCAGTGAACATGTGAGAAAACGGCTTCAGCACTTTCGCAAGACGTTCGCGCTGAATATCTGTCCCAGAGAATGAACTCAAGGCTAGACGTATATTTTGTCCTACGTTGGTGATCAGCGAAACGTCTGCATTTTGTTCAGAACGGCGTGCTTCGTCTCGTGGGAGACGCACTGGTATTGTCTGAGGTCTCACTGGAAACTTTAAAGGGGTTGAGTTCCAGCCATACCCGTATTCTCCGATTGCGAGGTCTAGGATGATGCCCTCTCTGGTTATAAAATCCCTCCCAAGAATGATGCCACAAGCGAGACCTTGCAGCTAAGTAAGGTATTGCCGACATTTCCGTCTATCATAGGAGAGTTGCAAGCGAGTTCCTTCGTTAGCGGATATTACTTCGTTCGATGCCATACGCAACTTTTTTTTGCGAGGATCGCATATATATACTACGGTTTTACACAATTGTTTTACAAAGTCTCCAAAAAGAGATATTGTGGCACCCGTATCTAAAAGGGCTGCAATTTTCTGCCCGGCAATGTCAACTATGATGTAATGTTCTCTGGCTCCGTTTCCGTTCGTCGCGTCGCATCAAGAGATGGAAAAAAACTCGATTGGTGCACAAAAACGAAATGGCCAAAGCAGTTTGGCGCGAATTTGTTTCCATGTCACTGCCGATGATGGCCCGCTTACCCGACGGACGCTAAACCATGTTTGTAGTGCCGTCATTATCGCGATGAAGCGGGCAAACCATTGACCGGCCCGTCCTATCCACTTACTACTGGAGCGTGGTTTGGGTTTGACCTGTCGCGGGTTATTGCCCTAAGATGTACGAACTGTCCTAGTCCTACAACCGTTATTCAATTCCAATGAGATTCTCAGCTTTGCGATGTCATGCTGAGTGACTCCGGGAACGTCTGGAGGAGAATCACTGCTTGCTGCAGTGGGATCCTCGGACATGTTGAGAGGCGCCACGGGAGGCGCCTCGTCCGGCACCTTCATGTCTCCGAAGGGTCCACCGCTAGCCGCAGTGGGATCCTCGGACATGTCGGGAGGCGCCATGGGAGACGCCTCGTCCGGCACCTCCATGTCTCCGAAGGGTCCACCGTTAGCCGCAGTGGGATCCTGGGACATGTCGGGAGGCGCCACGGGAGACGCCTCGTCCGGCACCTCCATGTCTCCGAAGGGTCCACCGCTAGCCGCAGTGGGATCCTCGGACATGTCGGGAGGCGCCATGGGAGACGCCTCGTCCGGCACCTCCATGTCTCCGAAGGGTCCACCGCTAGCCGCAGTGGGATCCTCGGACATGTCGGGAGGCGCCACGGGAGACGCCTCGTCCGACACCTCCATGTCTCCGAAGGGTCCACCGTTAGCCGCAGTGGGATCTTCGGACATGTCGGGAGGCGCCATGGGAGACGCCTCGTCCGGCACCTCCATGTCTCCGAAGGGTCCACAGCTAGCCGCAGTGGGATCCTCGGGCATGTCGGGAGGCGCCACGGGAGACGCCTCGTCCGGCACCTCCATGTCTCCGAAGGGTCCACCGTTAGCCGCAGTGGGATCCTCGGACATGTCGGGAGGCGCCACGGGAGACGCCTCGTCCGGCACCTCCATGTCTCCGAAGAGTCCACCGTTAGCCGCAGTGGGATCCTCGGACATGTCGGGAGGCGCCACGGGAGACGCCTCGTCCGGCACCTCCATGTCTCCGAAGGGTCCACCGTTAGCCGCAGTGGGATCCTCGGACATGTCGGGAGGCGCCACGGGAGACGCCTCGTCCGGCACCTCCATGTCTCCGAAGGGTCCACCGTTAGCCGCAGTGGGATCCTCGGACATGTCGGGAGGCGCCACGGGAGACGCCTCGTCCGGCACCTCCATGTCTCCGAAGGGTCCACCGTTAGCCGCAGTGGGATCCTCGGACATGTCGGGAGGCGCCACGGGAGACGCCTCGTCCGGCACCTCCATGTCTCCGAAGGGTCCACCGTTAGCCGCAGTGGGATCCTCGGACATGTCGGGAGGCGCCACGGGAGACGCCTCGTCCGGCACCTCCATGTCTCCGAAGGGTCCACCGCTAGCCGCAGTGGGATCCTCGGACATGTCGGGAGGCGCCATGGGAGACGCCTCGTCCGGCACCTCCATGTCTCCGAAGGGTCCACCGCTAGCCGCAGTGGGATCCTCGGACCTGTCGGGAGGCGCCACGGGAGACGCCTCGTCCGGCACCTCCATGTCTCCGAAGGGTCCACCGTTAGCCGCAGTGGGATCCTCGGACATGTCGGGAGGCGCCACGGGAGGCGCCTCCTCCGGCACCTCCATGTCTCGGAGGAACCCCTGGCTTTGCGAAGCCTGGTCCTAGGACACGTTTCGATTCACCCGGCCAGCATTAATGGCCGTGCCATCGTGGAAAGGCGGGTCAAAGGTTGGGTCTCCTCGTGTAACCAGGGCTGCCTCACGGAACCGTGAGGACCAAAAGGTGCGGGAGACTTGTGGCCTGGATTGAAAATTCGCCGGCGACTGGCAAGCCTTTATTAATGCCGGCTTACCTCGTTTCCCGACTGGAAAGCTGTAGAAGAAGGCGGACAGTTTCTGCGGAAATGACCTACGCCACCGCATTGAAAACAACGAGGTGACGGTATCTGCTCCGAAGTTTGGGATGGCTGGAGTCGCCGGGGCATGGCAGCCGTATAGTTAGTTCTGTTCCGGTCCGTGATCCACCTCCGTGCCTCATACTGCGTCTCTGGCTGCGGACCACCGAGTCTCTGCACCAAGGCTCGACCACCGGGAATAGAATGGGCGTCTTGCGTCAGAGCGTACGCGTGCGGATCGAGCGCACGCGGCATCATTCTAGGGTGGTGCCGGGGATACTGAGCTCGGCCATCTGCAGCACCCCGGTAGTGTGTCCTGCCGGACCAGGCGCATGAGGGTTCCGAAGAGTCCTCAGGTTGGGGAGGTGGTCTATAACTGAACTCAGCCATAATGTCAGCCTGAATCTGGCTGGCCGCCCGGGCCACAGCGTCTAAGTTTGAAAAGCTGCGACCTCGCAAGTAAGGGTGAAACTGCGGATGGCTTTGTCGGATGGCCCGTGCAACCCTTTCGGCTGGCGAAGCGCTCGGTTCACCCCTGTCGTAGAGCGTCTGTAGGGCGCGCAGAAACTCAACTAAAGATTTATCTCTGTGTTGCGTCCGTGCCCGAAGTTCGTCCCGGATACGTTCAGCGTAATCTGGTGGTAAAAAATCGCCTCTGAAGCGTTGGGCGCCAACTGTGGAGACGAGAAAACGAACACCAGTTCTCGCGGTGTACAAGCTCCGAATGCCCCGAGTGCCCCCTCGCCCCCAGTCGTCGGTCCTCTTTAATCTCGTCTTTTTCCGTTCCCCACAGTACCCAGTGCTCGCTTTGCTGGGATGGCTCCTAAGGTCCGCTGCGGTCCATCGCGATTAAAGGGCCCATGAAACGAATTTTGGGCTGGTATAAATCACTTTAGATTGGGATTTTACTAATAGCACATCGTTCACTGGGCCAAAAGAAAAAAAGGTAGAAAGTCAAAAGCCTGACTTTTAGTGCGAAAATCTAAAAACACAGCGGACTATTTCCTACCTCCTGCCCTTCGTAAGCTCTCTGCCTTTTGACTGTTATAGACGCTTTCAGCGAGTCAGTTACTCGAGCTGCCACCAGTCGGCGCGCCCTTCGCGTGCTTTCCCGGCCGCCATAGCCGACCTTCAGTTTCTCGCCGTTGCTCCGCGTTGTGTGCTGCACAGGCCACTACCGGAGCTTCGTTTTCGTGTTCTTTTACGTTCCGTGTTGAAATCTTCGATTTTCTTCAGGTCCTTTCGATGCTTAGGACTTTCATTTAATAATTTGCTATTTATATTTCGACATTTTTCTTATTTATGAAATGGAATCGGACAGCGAATGGGTCGACGATACAAGATTATGAGGCTTCAATGACCATGTAAGTTCATCCCATTCTTACGTTTTTGTCGCTAATAAAGGGCAGTCAACACTATTGCGACATATATAAATTGCAACTGACACAGTAAGGCTTCTCGCTGCATGAACGCGCTCGTTTCCGTAAAGTCGACCCGCCATGTTAGCGATCTAGCGTGCGACGAGACGAGCGACGGTGATTTCTCACTGTCGCCCGTCGCATCGCTCGGTTTTGGGATTTCTAGAAAACGTCGCTCACCGTCTTGGTCGCTTGCTCCGTCGCTTCCATGCGGTTTGCCTCGTCGCGCGACTGACTGAGCGACAGCGAAGCGGGTCGCTGTCGCTTATCTGGTCGCTCGTCAAATAGCTTACATGCGGTTTATACTCAATTAATTTCCATGCACACATCATTGAACCATTGGCGCCTCGATATTAAGTATAAACCGCATGCGAGCGATTCGGCGAGCAACGAGACAAGCGACGGTGACCCTCTTCGCTGTCGCTCGGGCAGTCGAGCGACGATGCAAACCGCACGGAAGCGACGGGAGCGAGCGGCCAAGACGGTGAGCGACGTTCTCAAGAAACCCCGAAAAACCGAGCGATGCAACAGGCGACAGTGAGAAACCTTCGTAGCTGACTCTCGTCGTTGTCGCCGTCGCTGGTCTCGTTGCACGCTAAATCGCTTACATGCGGGTCGGCTTTACGGAAACGAGCGCGCACATGCAGCGAGAAGCACGTACGACAGGATAGCCTTACTGCGTCAGTTGAAATTTGCATATGTCGCAATGGTGTTGACTGCCCTTTATTAGCGACAAAAACGTTAGAATGGGATGAACTTACATGGTCTCTGAAGCCATAATCTTGTATCGTCGATGCATTCGCTGTCCGATTCCATTTCATAAAAAAAAAATGAAAAAAATGCAAGAGCTATGTTGAAATATAGATATCAAATGATTAAATGAAAGCCCGAAATATTGAAAAGACCTAAAGAAAACACGCGATTTCAACGCGGAACGTAAAAGAACGCGAAAACAAAGCTCCGGTAGTGGCCGGTGCAGCACAAAACGCGGAGGAAGGGCGAGAAACTGAAGGGCGGCTATGGCGGCAGGGCCACGTGACGTCAAGATGGCGGCGCCCATGAAATGTTGCCTGAAAGGGTCTATACGCACCTCCACGATACCGGACCTCCCTTATTCCCTTCACCCCTAAGCATGAAATGTTGCCTGAAAGGGTCCAAACGCACCTCACACGATACCGGACCTCCCTTATTCCCTTCACCCCTAAGCTGACATTGTAGTGGAAGCTACGCGCTTGCCCGACCAATCAGCCGCCTCCCTTTCATCGTCTGACCTCATTCTCTGCGCGTGGGTATGCGCTAGAGAGTGTGATCACCTGACAAAAGTGTGGCTGACCCAACGAGCACGTAGCTTCCACGGCGCTGTTATCTTCGGGGTGAACGAGGTGAGGAAAGCAACTTTTGTCTGAATTTTGAGCGGCGGGCTAATCTTCTATAGTCCGTTGCAACCTAAGAACGAAGGGCGAGGGTAACACGGGCAGGGGAGGAGGAAGCAGACGGAACGCTAAAGAGAGAAGGAGGTTTCCCCCTCTCTTCTCCAGCGTTCCGTCTGCTTCCTTCTTTCCTGCCCGTCTTACCCTCGCCCTTCGTTCTTAGGTTGCAACGGTAAGACATTTGCAAGAAAGGCTCCAGGGAGCTGCCATTTTGAATTATGCTGGCGCCGCCTAGCGTGCGGCGTGTTTCCGCCGGTGCTGGTGTGGGTAAACGCGCCAGTCGCCCAGCAAACCCAACGCAAGTCGTCTCGGTGTTCTCAACCTTTATGTGTTTTGTGAGCTTTAGGTATTTTATTTTCGTCTCTGGCCGGTGGGTAGTGATCCCAAAATCTACTTAATCTGTGTGTATCTGGTTGCGGCCTTAAACAACCCCCTATATTTTTTTGTGGAGCTCGTTTTTCACAGCGAGCCACCGCGGGCCAAGGCGCAATGGCGTCTGCTTCCACGAGCGACGCCTGGGATGGTTTGGATTTCTTGGTTCTTGACGGTAAGCGTGTGCAATCGTTCTTTACATAAATATCATAACACAGTTGTAGCAGCGTGTTTGTTGACTGCTGGGTACCGTGCCTCCTGGGCTCCAGAAGGGCGCATTGCGGGATCGCAGGGGCAGCGACGCGGTTAGTAGCATTGGAAGTACATACAGTGTGTCGGTTACGCAATGCCTAACGCACGATAATACTCATTGTCAATATTAGCAATGCATATGAGGACTTTAGGATCCCAAGACCTAGCCGTTCACGCTTTTTAACTGCCGCCGTGCCGCGCACTTCAGCGCCACTCCGGTATGATAATTACTTGTACACGACGGAGTGTTTGCTATGATAACCAGTTCACCCACAGATCGTTTCATCGAAAGTTCGTTACATTGACAGCTCGAATTAGCTACTTTTTCTAATGAGCCGCCTATTTGCCGCCGGTAGTCGGCAGCGGGTCCCAGTGATGTACGCGCGACGAAATTTCCCTAAGCGTGCTGTCGATGAAACGAGTCTCGACGAAACGATACGGACCTGAATATTCGCGAGGGCGAAAAGTCTCGTACATGACAGAATGTTCGCTTCTGTGGATCGTCACTTTATGGATTTGATTGCTAAGCGGTTTGCGAACAATGGGGGAAACGGTGGCCGAGCCTGCTTGCGGGTCGTAGCTCGCGGAGCAAAAGCTTACGCTCGAGAACCTAGGGATCCGGAGTGCGACCCCGCCCCTGCCCCTGGGTGAGCATAGTACCGGCACGCGTAATCGCTACTGCCTGATGCATCTTTGAGACCTCAGGCTAGCAGCCGTACTTAACGAACCACGTCGCGATACCTCGCAGACCACCCTCAGGCTGTTAAACAACTCTCAGACGCCCAATTTTTTTTCTTTTTTGCTTCTGTGTAAACAATGCGCCATATGCAGTTTTTTTTAAACCACGCTGCTAAATGCCTATGTCACACAGTGACAGAAAAAAAAAAGCGATAGAGCAGGTTGTTCTCGGCGAACAGAAGTATTCTTTTTGCTGTGCAACACACAAGCAGTTTCCATTAATGCCAAATGCTAGCACAAATTCTGTTCAAAGGCAGTGTTTAATGAAAACTGACCCGCATGGTCACAAATGACGTAAACACATTATTGAATAGCTCTGTGAAGAAAGACATGAACTGTGCCAAATCAACAAGAAAAATTTATTGCAAAGTAATATATTGTTGAAGACAGTTTCTCCACTCTATCTCAGAAGTCAACGATTCATCTCGTCCTTATACAAAAGTTTCCAAGCATTTATTGTTTTTTTTTCTTCCAGGATCTGTGCCCTACGTTCATCCAAAGGAAGTGTCAATCTGGGAAGA